TATCTATCTATCTATCTATAGATAGATAGATAGATAGATAGATAGATAGATAGATAGATTACTTTTTTGCTCATCATAAATCACCACAATACATCTTCCAGTGGTTGGAGTTAATTCATGAGTGTTGATTAACCTGACCCAACCAACAATAATAGAGAATCACGCAACCCCAAACTAAAACTGATAAGAAACTTTTCTGAGTCAGTCACGGTCTAACATGTGAATCTCCTACATTAAAAAATAAAACAAGACAAGCCAGATTAACCTTGTAAAGTGTTAAAAAATCAACAGAATGTGTGTTCCAATCATCTTAAAGTACTGTATTTATTCAGAATATATAGATATATATACAGTAATACTGTGTAACAGCTCAAATGTTTGTTGTGCCAAAGCAGCCCTCAGCTCTCCATTAAACAGTGTGAACCAAGCTTCTGACTGATCACTGAGCATTCCCAGAGAATGTATTGATATGGAATTGCTATGTTTAGGAACAGCTCAAATGCTGGAGCTGACATGATAAAGTTTGGGAACCCCTGCGCTGGTGTGAATAAAGATCCTGGTTGGACATCATCGCACCCCTGCTGCTGACATCACCAACAACAGGGAGAGATGTGTTAACCCCAACGAGGCTCCCAAACACTATTTTCCGCCTTCCGGCCAATAGATCTTCCTGGTTTTGCATAAACGGCCAATTACCTTGTCAGTGAGCTGATCTGAGGCGCAGTGCATCCTCTCGTCCCTATTCATTTTATTGTAACGCGCAAATATAAACAGGCCTAATAGCAGCTCCACTCGCACTGCTCTCGTCCCCGCGCCGTTATTGATATGGCCTCGAATTCACACAATTGATTTTTATGCTTCCCTCTAGCCACCTTGTGCAGTTGAGAGATATCTTTATTCGCACGGAAAGTGAAATAAGTGCGTAATAAAACGGTGATATATTAAATTCGTTTTTCCCCGTGTCGCGGTTTTATTATGAGCCATTTCTCATTTTTATTGAATTGAGACCCCGGCGATCCGCGCCGTCGCTTCGGGCGGAGAAAGGTTAAATAATTTGTGCAAATCAGCAAAGCTTCATGATGTGACTCCAGCTGCTATTTATTGCTTTTTATTTTGTTTAATTATATTTCAATCAATC